CCAACAGCCATCAATCTTTACTCAAAACCTTTAAAGAAAAAAATTCTTGGCTAAAGCAGTAACGATTTTCTCAGCGCTATTATGAGACAACACAAAAAATCAGGATGTCACACTTAACATGAAGTCCGTCGAACAATCCGCTTTTATAGGGTCGGAACGTCTTCTTCACCTTTATTCTTGGAGTCTCTAAGGTTGTCTCCATGTATGAAGTAATAACCATAAGAAAGCAGTAGTACATCTGCTTAATGAATGGGTGGTAAAACTGGATTGTTAAAAGAAAAATGCGGAGACAAAATTGCACAATTTGAGAAAGCCGAAGGATCTCGTGTCTCTCTATTTCACTACCATCGAGGCGTGTGTATCTCTTTTTCGTTAATCTTTGTGGCAGCATTTATGGAGTCACTAGAAATGAACGAACTTTCAACTTTCGTTTAATAGTAAGTTTCATCGGATACCTTGGATAATTCTTTTGTAAAATAAAAAATCTCTAAATAGGCATGCTTAAACATTTCCTTTTCAGCTGAATTTTATAGAGTCACTAGAAATGAATAAACTTTCAACTTTAGCCTAACGTTTAATGCGGTCCTTGAATTTTCAATTTATTCAATGTGGTCCCTGAACTTTTGGCATGTGTTCAATTTAGTCCTTGAACTATATGGCTGAGCTCTGATTTGCAACTTGTTCATCCATTGTTTCTACAATTTCTCCCTATTGGAGTTGGTGAATACTTCGGGGACTCTTGTTTCTCATACCGGGCACGCCTACATGAGCCTAGGGAAACCGAAGTATGATCCGATGACATGTGACCCCTACGCACGGAATGCGAGGGTTCGGGGGCAGCGCCCTCGAAACGGGGGTCCCGCTGACTGGACAGCGGGCGGGGGTTCCGCTCCCCGGTGAGCGGACGGCGGCCCTGCTCCCCAGTGAGCGGACGGCGGCCCTGCTCCCCGGTGAGCGGACGGGGGCTCGGGGGCAACGCCCCCGAAACAACATCGGTTTTTTGGCTTATGTTTTAAGCTAACCTGTTTGTTGTGGGATTAAAGGGATTCGGATAGGCTTGTGCTTTTGGCCCATTTTAAGTCCTATATATTGTACTTGTATGAGAGATCATTGTAACGAGTGGTTGTGGTTGTAAAACCTAACTATCATAGTGGAATCTCTTTGCAGGACGTAGCCCTATTCTGGGGTGAACCTAGGTAAACTCGTGTATCAAATTTTCTATTATCTGTGTTATTGTTCTGATTCGGTTCGGATATAACCCCATCACTCTCTTTATACTGTCTACATCACTTGATTCTGTAAATGGAAGCTGAACCCTGTAGTTTGATGTCGACTCTCTCTTTCGATAAACCTGTAACTAGATTGAGACTCCAGGTGACTGAAACTTGAATTGTTTTCAAACTATCCAGGCTGATAACTCGCGTAATCTCATTGTTTTTTGCTTCAATGAGTGGCATATGTAAGAGCATAGATTTTGCTCTCTGAATTGGGAGCTTTCATGTGAAATGTACCTATCAGCCTTGAATAACTTGTCTAAGAGTTTACATCTTGCTCTCTGAATTTGCAGCTTTCATGTGAAAAATACCCATCAGCCTTGCTTGTAGTTGGGAAATGTTGCCCTCCATCATGGTGTGTGTTTTTGTGTGTGTCGGTGTCTGTTTGAGAAGCAGACAGGTTAACTCTCTTACAGTATGCATTGTTGGTTTCAAGGAAAAAGCAACTCATGTACGCATAATACATTGGCAATTTCTCAATCTTTTTATCTTTCATGTAATCTACCAACTAAAGTTTTGAGGAATCAAAATAGACTTTTTTACTTAAAAGATCAGATTTTATGTTCGTACTTCCTCGTAATGGGTTTTTCATCAAAAAGTGGCCTCAACTTTCATCCGGGAGGACAATTTGGCCCCAATTGCGTCTCATAAAAAACGCTCAACTTTCATCAGAAGGACAAATTCAGCTACTGTTAGAGTTGTCGTTAGACTTTGCATGCGACGTCTGATTTGTCCAATGGAGGATGAGTTGCCTACGACATCCACCCTCGTCAGCCAAAATGATCAACCAAGCCCAAGAAAAACGACATTTTGTCCTCCCCTCCCTTCATCAAAACAACGTTGTCCGGCAATTCAGCTGGTGCCTCTGTCTTCCCGGTCTAGGGCCATGAAACAAAATCTAATTTATAGAGAGAGAGATGCAATTCGATAATTTAGCGTGCGCCTCCACTTATTTCGTTGCTTGAAGAAATCTCACGTCTTCCATCTATCGTTGCTTCAACATATGATCCATGAATTGTCGCATTTTTCTTTTTATCGATTTTGTTCTTTCATATTGTTTGCTTCCAGATGGAGGCAATTTCACTGTATATTTAAACTCGCATTTTTTTTAGCAAAAAAAAAACCATCAAAAAACGTGGAGGCTCGCCGGATAACATGTGATTACCTTATTAACTTAGTGAACTCCTATGGATCTATAGCGGATAGAATGTCTTACCGGATTCCTGGATTGAGCTTGAAGGATGGGGCTGTTTGGATAAGATCAGAAGATCGGGCGTTGGACTTGAAGGATCTAGTAGCAGCGGTAAGCTTCCATTGATGTGTTTGTTCAAGGGAAAATTCATGCCAGATGTTATGGAAAAAAACATTGCCGATGATGAGGATATTGATGACGAGAGTGTTCCTAATACGAATGGTTAGGGTAATGATTGGTATAGCGACAATGAGAGTGATGATCCAAATTATGAACGGACGGACGAAAGCGATGATTCATTATCCTTATCAGATGATGATTCAATCGTGTCGGGGGATGAAGAGTTTGTGCACTACACAAGGATGAAGCGGCAGAGCTGAGAAGCTGATGCTGGAGATGCAGCTGAGGGTAATGTGTTTCTAGGGGATGTTCATGTTGCTGCTGTTGCAAACAGCGAGGGCGTTGGAGGGTCTGATGCGGGTAATGTAGGGGGTGATGAGGAAGTATCTAATGACTGTTTGAGTTGGTGCCAGCACGGATGAAGGGAAGGAACATATTCGAATTGATGGTAGAAGATTTGCAGAGGTTATACACAACCCGAACTGTGATCAGAAAGACATAGTACTGCAGGTCGGAACGAGAATCACTGGTGCTGCCGAATTTCGGGCAGCATGCAATCTTAGATGGCCTCAAGGGAGAAGGATGGATGCCAGGCGCATGGAGGGAGGTGATTGAAAGCTTTAACGCTCATGGGGTATGGACAGAGAAGAGATTGGTCTCGAATGGAGTCCAGGGATGAACACGAGTGCACTAGAAGCCCGGGCAAGCGACTGCTGACATGGCTTCGCAGGAAGATGAGTACACTTTAGTACTTGTTCAAGTTAAGAGCCAATCCATCATTGTTCAGCTTCAGACAAGTAGGCCGACGCTAGGAGAATAAAGCTGGCGCTTCTTATTACAGAGAAGATGAGGAAATGCTCCGGGCGGTGGAAATCCTCCGGGATGAGGGACGACGACGACGATTCGATGGCCTTGGAGAAGATCAGAGGCCCGATCAAAGAGCATTTATCAGTTGTTTAGATCATACAAGGCTGAGTTAACCATATTATTAGTATTGTAATTATTCTTTGTATCGAATATTATTACGTCCATATTAAATATTATTACTTCCTAGTATAGTTTTTTTTTAATTATTTCTCCACACGTTTCTCTATGTTTATTGTGTGGATATTAATTTGTTTTATCGTATTCCGAGATAAAAGAGGCGATTTGACTCAAAGATCGAGAAAATTTGTAGTTTTCACCATGTGTTAGGCTGATGCAAATGGAATAATACATTGACAGCTCAAACAAAATAGGATTTGGTGTAACGGTAATGGTCAAAAGTTCGGGAGCAAACACGGATCACTTGAAAGTTTACGGGGATTTTTGTAATTTTTCCCAGCAAATATTTTAGAGTTTAAAAGATTACCAACAACGATCACAAGGCATTAAATGACTCGATATTAGATATTTATAACAACATTGGAGAAGGATCACGAGACGAAAGATTTAGGGTGCGCTTGTTTTGCGGAAAATGGACCATTTCTGGAAAATACTTTCCAGGAAATCATTTTCTAGGAAAATGTGTTCATTTTTTCGTATTTGGCTAAAACTTAAAAAAGACTTGGAAAGTATTTTCAGTTGTTTGGTGAGGAAAATCCGATGGTGAAAATTATCAAAAATATTTGTATTTTTTAAATCATTTCAAATTATTTGTTATTTTTAAATTATTTTAGTAAGAAAAGAAAAAAAAAGGAAAAGAAAAAATATTAACAAATTCAAGATAAGCAATTCCGGAAAGTGTTTTCACCTTCTTAGATTAAGGAATTCACTTTCCTAAAATTAAACATGATATTTGTGTTGATCGGAAAATAATTTCCGTTGACCAAATCATTTTCGGAGAACCAAACAGATGAAAGTCCAGAAAACACTTTCCGGAAAAACACTTTCACCAAAACAAACACACCCTTACTTAATGATCCAAATTACAATTCTTCTTGCACTGCCATCTAGAACGAAGATAATGTATATACTAATTGGCTTATGAATTTTTCAACAAAAGACATCATTATTTTATATATATTTGTAAGTATATAAATTTTAGGGAAAATAACACAAATTGGCATTAAACTTTGACCCAGTTTTCAATGTAATCCATAAACTTTTAATTTGTTCAATGTAATCCCTGAATTTTTGCTCAATGTGCAATGTGATCCCTTAACTTTTAATTTGTTCAATGTGATCTTTTGACTTTTGATATATATTCAATTTAATCCATGAACTATATAAAAATGTTCAATGTTGTTTCTGATCTTGAATTAATACTGAACATTTTCATTGAACATGTACCAAAAATTAATGAATCACATTGAACAAATTAAAAATTTAGGGATCACATTGAATATTAAATCAAAGTGTAAGGACCATTTCTGTCATCATCCGTCATCCCTCCCTATATTATAAGAGGCCTCAATAACTTAGATATGAGTAAATCTACAAAACCCTAAAACCATCAACGAAATGGCAGACCTCAGAAGATGAGGAAACGCTCCTTCCGGAGGAAATCCTCCGGGACGAGGGACGACGACGACGACGATTTGACGATCTTCCCCGAAGAACTGTTGATCGAGATCCTGAAGAGACTCCCCGTCAAGTCCCTCTGCCGTTTCATTTGCGTCTGCACTCGCTGGCGCTCCCTCATATCCGACCCTCGCTTCGTCGACACCCATTTGGCTCACTCCGCGACTCGCCCGAAGCTCCTCGTCAGTTTCCCCGACCCACATGCCGACCACCACCGAGGTGGCCTGCGGCTCTTCTCCGCCGACCAATCTGAGCCTCGGAACGGTCAGCCCCAGATCGCTAGACCTCACTTCTTGCTCCGCGCCTGGACTGGCCCTTACGTTTCGCAGTCTCACGACGGCCTGATCTGCCTAGAAGTCGACGGTCTTGTCAACATCTGCAATCCCAGCACTGGGAAGCATGCGGCTTTCGGATTGCCCGGAACAAGGGCGCGTTCTGCTCCTTGGTCGTATTTTGAACAGACGCACTCTTTCGGGTACGATCCTGTCGAGAGGAAGCACAAGGTTTTGAGCACGCGGGTGATTAGCAAGGGAAGGCTCGATCGCACGGACATCCTGGAGCCGCGGGTGCTCACCTTGGGGACGAAGAGGTGGAGGCGGGTCGAGGGCTGTGCGCCCCATTATAAGAAGGATCACGAGTTCTGCTTCGGTGGGGTGGTCTATTACACCGCTTGGAGTAGCTCGCGTGACTGCAGCGGGGACATGTACCTGGTGGCGTTCGACGTTAGGACGGAGAGCTTTCGCATGATCACGGTTCCCGCCAGAGCCCGCGAATTCAGACACAAAGGGCTCCTCATCGAATTCGAGGGGTGCCTAGCGATAGTGGATTGCTACACTGCTCTGTCTTGTGCCGAGTTTTATATGTGGATCCTGGAGGACTTCGACCGGGAGATCTGGAAGAAGAGAGTTTTCGTCTTGCCCGCGTGTTGGAAGGAGATTGTTGGGGACCGTCGAGTTTTTCCGGCGGGTATGGTACGTTCCGGCAAACTACTGTTCGCACCTCAAACCTTATCGAGGCCTGTGTGCGTGTTTTACTACAATCTGAAGACCAACGGCTTTAGGCGGAGTGAAATTTGCGGGTTGCCTGAGCATGATTTGTCTCTGTCTCCTGGATATTGTCTTTTGACTTTTTCTGATTATGTGGAGAGTTTACTGCCGCCGGGAGGTCTTTCGAGTAGAAACTAGCCAGCCGACTATACTATTTCTTATGGCCTGAAGTTCAAATGGTTGATGGATTGGTTCTGGAGTCTGCGCTCAAACTGTGTAATGGCAAATTGTTTTGGAGTTGGAAGATGAACTGTTTTAAGAATTCGGCTTGTTGAAATTTTTTTTTTTTTTTGATAACCGAGGTATCCGGGCCAACTTGCGCGCACCTCGACTATTCCTCGGGGGAGACTAGCACAGCAACCCACCGTCATGACCCCTCACTTAAATCATAAGTGCTCAGCTGGGGAATCGAACCTGGGACCAGTGCGCCTATCCACACAATCTCAAGTACGCCCTAATCAACTGAGCTACCCATGGATGGGTGGCTTGTTGAAATGTTGGCTGCTGCATTTCGCAATTGATTGCATGTTACGCATCAAGAAATCTTGCTTCGCGACATGGAAAATGGAGGGGTTTCATTTTCGTGTGTGAACGCATTTGTGTGCCATGTTGCTATTGCCCCCATATCCGTGTGTGTTGCGTCTCCACTCCGTGGCACTCTCTGAGAAAATATTAAGTGGTCCGAGACCTCCTCGTCAGCGTGGTCTCGGATCACTTATGAAGCACCACGTGGCGCTTGTGGGGTCGGCTCTCCCGGTAGGAAATTTTGCACAAAAAGCCCCTCTCTCTCTCTCTCTCTTTTGCACTCATTTATATCTTCTCTCTCTTCTTCTTCTTCGTTCTTTCCTTGAAGAAGAAAACCCACCGCACTTTACCTCTCCCGCTTTCAAATTATTTTGAATCCGTGCGATTTCACTCTCAAATTTAACGTGAAGTCCGTCAAACAATCAGCTTTTATAGGGTCGTCGGAACGTCTTCTTCACCTGTATTCTTGGAGCTTCATGAGATTGTCTCCGTGTCTAAAATGATGACCAAACGAAACGTACTGCATCTGCAGAATGGCAGGGCTTTAAAACCGGACTGTTAAAAGAAAAATCGAGAGTTGAGATTGCAACAATTCGATAAAGTCGAAGGGCCTTATGTCTCTCTATTTCACTACCATCAGCATCGAGGCGTGTGTATCTCTTTTTCGTTAATCTTTGTGACGTTGACAACGGAGGCACTTAGCAATGAATGGAAACTTTCTAACTTCCGTCTAAATACGAAGTTTCATCGGACACCTTAAGATAATTCTTTCGTAGAATTAAAAAATTTCTCTGAATAGGCCAATATAAGGCACCTCTTGCTGTGTGTGACCCAACCAACTCGGCAGCCAGGCAGCCAGCCAAAAGAGGTAAAAAGCCAAGAAGAAAGGAAGAGAGCAAAGCCAAAACCCACCCCTTCGGACCAAAGAAAGAACGATGGGCATCATCATCCTCCCCGAGGACCTGCTGGTCGAGATCCTCAAGCGGGTGCCCGTGAAATCGCTGTGCAGGTTCAGGTGCGTCTCCACCCTCTGGCGCTCCCTCATCTCCGACCCTCGCTTCGTCGACGCCCACTTGGCCCATTCCGCCGGCCATCCCAAGCTCGTCATCTCTCTGCCCAGCCAACCGGACCCCGGCCCACCCGGCCGCTGCTTCTTCACGGCCACCCATTCCGAACCCGGAAATGACCAACCCCAGATCGTCGCTTCGCCTTACTTCTTCGTGCCCGGCACGGCGTGTAGTTACGTCTCGCAGTCCCTCAGCGGCCTGATCTGCTTCCAAGTCGATGGTCATGTCGGGGTTTGCAATCCCAGCACTGGGAAGCATATCGCATTGAGAACAGCCCGGGCGAATGTCGCTGGGGAGTGCGCTTATCTGCACTACTCGTTCGGGTTCGATCCGGTCGGTAAGAGGCACAAGGTCTTGAGCACGTTGGCGACCTGCAGGAGGCCGATGCCTGCCGATCTTCGTCAGGTGATCATGGAGCACCGCGTGCTGGACTTGGGATCCGAGGAGTGGCGCAGGATCGAGGATGGTCCTCCTCATATCAAGAAAGAGAGTGAAATTTGTTTCAACGGGTTGATTTATTATAGGGCTTGGAATGGCAACGTTACCAATCCTAGGCAGGACTACTTGGTCGAATTCGATGTCGGGACCGAGAGGTTTCGAATGGTTAAGTTTCCCGGCGATAATGGTCCCCGTGGAGGTCATCGGAAAGTATGCCTCATTGAATTCGAGGGTCGCGTTGCCGTGGCCGATTTGCGTAACCTTAAGCGTGATGGCAGCGATGATATTGTTTTGTTGATCTCGGAGGACTTTGAGAGGGAGATCTGGAGGAAGAAAGTCATTGCATTGCCACCTAGTTGGAAAGAGATTCTTGCGGCCGAAGAGGTTTTTCTGGCTGGTACAGTTGGTACTGGTGAATTGTTGTTGGCATCACAGATAATGATGAAGCCGCAGCGTGTGTTCTACTACAATCCGAAGACTAACAGTTTTCGTTGGATCGAAATTAGCGGGTTACCTGAATATAAGAAACTACTGCCTCCCGCAGTTTGGCAAACGTTTACTCATCACGTGGAAAGTTTACTGCCACTGGAAAGTCTTCATGACAGGCAACTACATCACACATGATCTGAAGATCAGCTTATACATCAGTTGGTGTTGAAGACTGAGTTACTAACTTTGTCATCCACACAATTTTGTACTATGTTCCGAGATGTGAAATTAGTAATCCTCTCTGGCTTCGGCTTAAACGTGAGTTTATCATTTTACTCTCAGAATTTGTGGCTTTATGTGACATACCTAAAAGCCATGATTGTAGGAAAGAGGTGTTACCCCTTCTCTTATTGCATAGTTGTTATTTGAAGAACCAACCAGGTATATTAGCTAATGAAGCCTTTTCATTTCGTTGTTGGCAAGCAGGGATATATATATATGCTTTACTGTGACATTTCTTGGAATAAAACTTTCAAGACAAGCCGATGCCTTTAAAATGCACAAACTAATTTCTAATCTCAGTTTGTATTTTCTCAGTTTTATTACCATTCTTTTATGCTATGGTTAAAGATGTGTGATATCTAATCAAAATTTGTGTTTCATGAACTGATGTTGTTTTCATGTTGATCGTATAGCTCCTGCTTTAGTATGATTTTATCACTTCCCTATCTGAAGTTGTGGATTTTTATTTCACCAATCTACTTACCCTGGTTATAGGAGAATGATATTGCCTCGTTGTCGCATTCCAAAAGCTTATGGTAATTCTGAAACTGTTCATTGTGTATAAGCAGGAAGAAAATCTTGCTTACTGCGGCAAGTTCTAAGGAAATAGAAACAAGTTGAAGGATTTAGAATGCATGAACGAGATCAAGGGCATATTGCTCTGGCTGATTGCCGTAATCCTGTGTATGATAATGATAATTATGTTGTCATATGGGTGTTAGAGGACTTAATGGGGAGATTTGGAAGAAGAAATTTTCATTTTGCTGCCATGTTGGAAGGAGTTCATTGCAGACGGAAGTGTTTCCGGCCACTGTCGTTGATACTAGTGAACTGTTGTTCTCGCCTTTTATCTTACCGGAGTCTATTTGTGTGTTTTACTATAATCTGAAGGCTTACTAGTTTAGGAGGAGTGGAATTAGTAAATTCCCCAACTATGAAGCTTCAGTGTCTCCTGAGTCATGTGGTTTAACGTCGACCAATCATATTGAGAGTTTATTGCCACTGAAAGGTCTTTCCTTGAATAAACTGTCAGGTGTTTCTTAGTCTGATCTTCTTATTCATCAGCGATTCTGAAGTTTCTTCTGAAACTGTCTATATGGCACTTGTTGGCAGCTCAACTCCAGTTATTTGCTTTAGCTAAGTAGAAGTGCTAGCTCCTGCATATACACATTTACGCCCTATGCTCCATGCCAATTAATTATGTAATCATACAAGTTTTTGCTTCAACATGACATATCTACGGGTTATACATTTTCCTACCCGAATTTTGCTTCTTCAATGTGACATGTACCTGTCATGAGTAATTGTGAGCGTGTTGTCATGGTTTTCTTTTCTTTTCTTTTCTTTTTTGTGTAGGAGTACATGGTAATTTGAGATATCAGGTGCATTGAGTCAGTTTGCTCTTTTTGTTGTTTGAGAAAGCCCGGGATTGATCTTGCATACTTGGGAGAACCATTTAACATAAGCAGTAGCCTTTAGATTGCACAAATTAGCTTCCGTATCTGAACTTTGTTATCGCTATTCATGATGCTAAAAAGTTGTTTGTGTCGTGACAGTTTGGAAGCCACGTTAGAGAGAGAGAGAGAGAGAGAGAGAGAGAGAGAGGCATTGATGCTTCTGGAAATTTATGGTAATTTGGAATAGAAAGGTGCTGCATATGCTAAGAGATCTGTTGTTACCGGAAAATTGTGGATTTTGATTATTCGAAAGTAGGGTGAAGATGAGTTTTTAGCATGAATCTCTATACTCGGCTCAAATGAAACCTCCAGCCTAGTATGATTGGAGTCTTGTTTTGGTGTTATGGCAAATGGCAATGGCACAATAACAGAATTTGCGAGAGGACTTCCCCATGCCTAAAAATCCCAAAGGGTCATTTGCATTTATGTCAGTTTAAGATGCCTGCAAGTCATTCTTCATGCATACGACTAGAACTCCATCAACGTTCCTTGTTGGTTGGTACCCTCCTCTCCGTGGATGGATCAAACTCAACTCTGACGAGTCCTCTAAGGGGCAATCCGAGTTTAGCTGGTGCAGGTGATCTTTTTTTGTGTTAGCGATGGGAGTTGGTGACATGTTATCATTGTGTGATTCAGTGAAATGAACTGGTGTTGGTTTAAAAAATTATATCAGCAGCCATTTGACTCTCTATTGGCTTCGTCCTTGTGTTATAACTGATGAGAATTGGAATTCTGGCTTCACATCATGGGAAAAAAAAAAAAAGTTGGAAGTTGAACTTTCCCCCCTCATTCTTGGGCAGATGGTATCATTCCTTAACAAGGGACATCGTCTTTACAAAAGACAAAAACTTCGACTTTACAACCTCAACTGTCAAAAATTTCCACTCAGGTTAGTCAAAGAATGCTCAATACCAACCACTAGAAAGCTTAACTAGGAAAGACAGGAACAATGTAGAATTCTCTGAAACAGAAACTTCTCAGCGACCAAGTACTGCTTGAATAGCAGCGCGTTGAGACTGCGTTAGATTCTGCGAATTCAAACGATGATCACACATGGAAATCTATGCGTTAAAGCAGAGAATGGATATTAAAACACATACAGGTAGAGTTTGATAGTCGTACCTGGCAGAGATGATCGAACAGATTTCTGTTGCTCGCGCAGAACTTCAAGAGAAAGTCCACCAGGTAGTTGGCCAGATTAACCTGTATTTCACGACAAGACATTTTAGAACGTCGGTCATAATATGCATAAACCAGACAACGAATCTAGGATGTAAGATCCATCAAATACCTCGTTTATAGGGTCATCAATACTTGAAAGGTCGTCGTCATCACCATCTTCCTGTTGAAGCTCGTAAGACATGCAAGAGTATGACCAAGCAAGTTATGATAGTCCATTATTTTCCTCTTTATTTAGCTTATCAATACTTTTCAGGGGAATGATCGGTATTCAATCCCATATATTTGCAGTAAAGGGAAAATAAAAAAGAAGATACAATCGCACCTCGTCTAATACTCTGGCCATCGCCTCAAACTGTGCATATCCTGGTCTGTCGGATGATACAGCAGCAGCTGCGCGTAAAATGTCTTTGTCACCATCCACTGGTTCCACTTCTTCCCACTCCGAATCATCCTACAAATATGAGTTTAAGGTGAAAAATCCTCAACCCTTCATGATACTGCAAATCCAACTAACTCAGAGAGATGTACCCTACCTCTTCATCACCAACCGGAGCTTGTTCTTGAATTTCAATCAAAGCATCAGCAAGCAAAGCCAGTATCTACAGTATGGAGGTAGTAAAGCGGATTTGTGAGATTGTTGAACACTATAATTTCTAGCTGGATCATGAAGGATATACTGTAGAACAGTAATAGCCACGAGTCATAAGTGACAATTTAATGACATTATTTGACCAAGAACAGGCAAGCGGTAATAAATCGATGTATGGCAGCAGAAATGTCAATTCCAAAGATTTGGCAACCATGATTAGAGATTAAGGTAAATATAGCAAAATTGCTTTCAAGACCATGTTCCACGTTCTCCTCGACAATGAATAAATCTTATAAACTGAGGAAATGGTCAAAACAATTACTTTCGCAGGAAGTGGCATCAAAGTCCACTGGTCTGGAGCTGACTTAGCCTTTGAGCGAGTGGTTATCCCTGTGGCAGACTTCACATGAAGTTCGATAAGCTAAGGAGCCAAGATGCTTCCAAATCAAAGTAAGCAGCAGAAATGAGAACCTGAATTAAGTGACCTTGGACATTAATTTTCCCCAATTCATCATGCATTGTGGAAAGTAAAAGAGCCAAAGCAGTGGTCGTCACTTTGATTTGGTATGATCCCTGAATCTCCCCTGCATTTTAAATTGCAGATTTGGGTAATATATCTAACATCCTTAAAAGCAAGAAGCATCCACATAAAAGGTTCGAGTAGATCCAGCTCATGGTCTAAAAGTATCACAAAAGTACAAGTCCATGGAACAATCCCACAGATTGCATAGGAGCAGCAGAGTCACTCTGGAGATGAACAGGACGTGCAGTTCAACTCCTACCTGGATCTCCAGTGCATTTTATTCCTAATAGTACCTCGTGTACTGTATAGGAATCCAAGAATCAGACTGAAAGAAAAAGTAGATAACTATCCCATACTCCTTATACAGGAGTGCAGCACTGCCACTTTAACCATGCTTGGACATCAGAATCTAGCAAGAAGCAGTTACCTTGCAGCTTTGTCCATTCAGACATCACATATGTGAAGGCATTATCATAACCTTCAGCAGGCACTCTCGTCAGCATGTCAATAAATTGTTGCACATTGGGAACACTTATGTGAACCTGCAATATTTTGAAGAATGACAACCAAGACACTGCCTAAGATTTTCAGAGATGAAAAGGTTAAAGATATTTTAAAGAAGCAAAGTGGCTTGTTTGAGAGGACCCTAATTAATGTAAAAGTTGGACTCAAAATATTGTTCTTGAATGGCATATTAGAATTTGCATTGCTTTAAATAGAGGCTTTGGGTGGACAGGTGCTGCTGGCGCACACAAATCACTCACTAGTTAACAAACCACCACTGTTACAGATTAATCAATGCTTTCTTGAAATGAATAATATCATACCAGATCAAAAAATTTTAAAATAAGGTGGAGGTGGAACCATATAGCACTATCATAGAGTTTTAAAGGATGAAATACCTTACCAATCTAGCAAATATCAGTATCAAGGAAGTTCTCAACCCAGCTATTTCAGCAGACTGCATGCGTCTGACCAGAGCAGCTGCCATGTCCCAGATATGTGGTGCCATTTGCTGTGGCAAGTGCAAAATAAGTGGCAGAATATAGTTCCCAACAAAAAGAGACCCAGAGCTTTCCAACGCAGGATCCAGAAGCCTGCATCATGTTACGAATAATAGATTTGAGACCCACAGTAAATACAAATGCACATGCAAAATCCAATAATTACTGAAACTGTGGAATGAGGTATTGCAACCAGGACATGACTTTCAAGTAATAGCCACTCATTCCATTATGTAAGTTCAAGATCAAAGCATTTCATTCCACATTGCAATTTACAGAACAAGTACTGAAGTAGTTAACGGGAGAAAAACCATTGAAGCTTGACCCCCATAGAGTTGGCCCAAATAACTTAAACTTTCATGTAGCTGCCATAAAACGAGTGCACATTGCAGAGTAAAGACATGTCACTGCAGTAGCGTTGTCACAGCCACATGCTGCTGTTTCACTCTACATTAAAAAAGTGAATAAAATTGATTCTTACAGTCAGCATTGTATCGTTAAATCTCTGAAAACCAGGATAATTGACATTCAACGATAAATTTTTATGAATTAAAGAACTAAACCAAAATACTTCAAAGCTGCATCTAACACGTATGCCGTTGGTTTTCTTCTATTTCTTTCTTTCTTTTTGGGTTGGCGATTTAAACCAAAACAACAAATACAAAAATGAAACATCGAAAAACTTCAACAACTCCAAAGAATTATCTCCACAATGCTGATCAATATAAAGCCAGAAAATTATAAGGGTACAAGAGAAAGGAAGTCTCCACAACCTCGAAGCTACATCTAGCAAAGATCTCATTGTGAACCCAGAATCACCACCCCAAGCAAGCACATCCTGTCTTCCCCCCGAGACAAAAGCAGCCAGGCAGTCCGTTGCGTTCTAATAAATGGCATTTGAATGCGGAAAGTTACTTAGATATAAAGAGAATGCAATCAGGGTCCTAGCAGACAGAGGACACAACCCATGAAACACTTGAGCACCTGCATTTCACCATGGTCTTCACTTTGAAGTGTTATATGAATGACAGCATCAAAACATGCGTCGTATATCAATTTCACTGCATCAATAGGAGAATTCTGTACATTGCAGCACCAACAGTAGCCAAGAATATATAACAATTAATAAAAATTATCAGCAGAAAATTAAAGTTAACATATCAGTGAGATAGGGAGGAATGAAAAATTAAACCTTAGAAATACCTTTAGTAGCATGGTCAACAGATCCAAGGATCCAGCAACTAAACCATCAGGTTGTTGTTGGGGCTAGTCGTTGCCATCAGGATATATCACAACCAACAAATAATTCAACCACTGTGATCAAGGCATGCTCAGATGCACCATAATAAAATGAAACCTATTAAAGTCCTACCTTATTTAGGACTGGACCTACAAAAGGTAGAACCCGGGAAATCAGTGGGTGGACGCAACCGGGAGAATTTTTTATTGCCTGGTCAAACATTTTATAGAAGAGAAAGAACAAGGGAAGTTCCAATCAGCAGAGATATAGACCAATATTAAAAGTATTATTTTGCCGATGGAGTCATCAAGCTTATTGTTTCAGCATAATGACTTGCTATAGAAAAGCACCAGGACTAATAAAAGTCGGATTAAAACCTTCTGACATTTTCAGAAAATTTTCTTTCTCAGCAGTCACTGTAGGAAGTAAAAGCATCTTGGCAAAAAAATATAGACTTTACCTTGGATATTCAAGTTTTTCAACATCGCAAGCACCGATTAAGTATGAAGTGATTGGAAACAGCTAAGTTTGGCAAGGACCACATCCATCAATTTTACAAATTTTTATTTAGATTCAAACCATCATATGGACTACCAATTAATGTACTTCATTAGTTACCAGCACCAATCCCACGGAAGCCACTAACCAAGCCTTACGTGCAGTGCCTAAATGCAGAGAAACTAGAATTTACAAGCATTTTATATGATTTTCTGACATTATCGTCATATTGCGATAGTAATCAAGAATGTAGGGAAAAAGAATCCCGCAAGGCCACGATCCTCACGATTCATCTCAGATGTCTGAAATAAAATCATATATTCTTGAGTATGGAGAAGTTGGAAATTTCAATGATTCAAAGCAGGTATTGGTAAATTTTCAGATGGAAAAAGTTGTGGATAAAACCAACACTCCACATTGATCAGCAGAAAACAAATTAGGTACAGCAGACGATTAATATACAAGGATATTGGAGTAGAATCAACAAGCCATTTTTTAGATAAGGGTTCACTTAATTAATGCTCTGTTCCTTACGTAGCAACTAACATAATAAACATCATACTCAATAACTGAAGATGATTGAGTGACATAATAAAGGAAATAATTATGAAATAAAGAACAAAAAACTTATCCAGACCAAATATCTAAAGACGACATTTCAAAATGTAGCTACCTCCAAAACCTCAAGTGCCTCGCCACTGACAAATGGATCTGAGATGTGAGATGCCCAAGTGTTCAAGAGGATGGGAGAAACATTAGGCTCCACAGCTGCTATAGCTTCGCAGCCTAAAGTAAAGGGAGGAAGCTAGTTTAATGGCATCCAACATGAAAGTGTAGATTGGAAGCAAAAAAATAAATAAGCAATACCTGCCATAATTGCTGCTCTGATTGTTTCAAGAACCAAGTGCAATGTCTCATCAGACGCCTGTGAAGAAAAAACAAGCAATGTTTGAGCTTGAACATCAGAATAAAATTTATGGAAAGCATACTAGCTAGTCTTACTTGACTAAGGAGATTTGTAAGTGATGAAAGCAATCCTATTACGTGAGGGAGAACATTTCCTTCATTTGCCTTGGTAAGGAGTAGAGAAAGGGCATGGCACGCACCTACTTTGACAGGTGGGGGCCTGTTAAGAGAGTAGTATTACCATTAGACAACTCAAAATTTCTTTCCCAAATCAAATTGTTGAATAAAATCACTTACACATCCATGCTAACTGTTGTAATAGCTGCATACAGAAAATTATCAAGAACTCCACGACTGATCTGAATGGTACGAAAAGTAAGTAAGAAAATACTCATAGCTGACATGACCTAGTAATTTACAAAGGAATTAGAATAATTACCACAGAGGAGAACTTAGCAACTGACACAAAAATACGTGCATATAGAAATGGATATTCATGTACCCCTGTTACCAAAAAAAGAAAAGCTCTGTCTATTCCCCGAATAACAGAAAAGTAGGAAGAGGAGCTAAGGACAGAACGTTCACCAGCCCCGATGTCCTCAGAGATCATCTGCTCAATCAAGCTTCCTATGTTGCCACTTGCCAATCCAGAAACCTGTCACAACACATCATCAGAAAAGACAAAATAACACTCAAAATGAATTACTTTAACATGCACAACAAAGCGATCACTGTGTTCACTGGAATGTAATTAAATGAAAAAGATGGTGCCCACACACACGCATGAGAGAGAGAGAGAGAGAGAGAGAGAGAGAGAGAGAGAGAGAGGAACAAACCTCAGCTTCAAGCAATTGGTCAGACAGTGACGCCAAGGCAAAAAGAATGGCCTCCCTCATCTGAAAAGAAAAATGAATTACTACAGGAATTAAAGGGTGAATGAAGAAAGCAAAATAGAGATAGTATGTAAGTGAAAGGACATGGACCCTAATTAGAGTTGAGAATATAAGAAAGGTCCTTTCCAAGAAAATACTGTGCAAAGAAAGGATGACCACATGACCAATTAGGAAAAGAACATCACTATAGTATAGCATTGCTCATCTCTTCATGTCATAAATTTCTATGATTTTCCTCTCAAGGTTCAGAAAGACAATTTTCCTATCCTATTGGGTTGTATCTATTTTGCTTTTAACTACTATAAAGCAGGTTAAGGAAGATATTTGTAAAAGCTCACATCGTTGTTTGCTGTAAAATGCAATTTGTTACCTACTAACAAAGAGGGTGCAAAGTTGTGATGTAAAACAAAGAGACAACATACTCTTATCACTCACAAATAATTAAGACCCACCACATTAACAAAGTAAATTACTTCTCTAACAAGAAACAAAGAATAAAAAGAAAAGAGCTTTAATATTACTCTCCACCAATCAGTAGAACCAGCACTTTTGTCATGTACAGACTCAGCAAATCGTCTTTTTGCAGCCTCAATAATGGCATCAACACCTTCTCTGCCACAGGAACTAACCACCTCTTCTAGCAAAAGTGCACCTGCAGACAACAGATCAGGGGATCCAACTGTAAAGTTTATCTAACTACGGTAACAATCATATATGGAACATCAGATTCAAGTATCCTACAGTATCAAAAATTTAGTGAAGGCATGAAAGAAACGGCTAGGTCTTTCTTGCAACTGAAAGTAGCTGACGCTGTGTAGTTGATACAATTTATAACCAAAACGCCATCATTATCCCCACTCATTTAACCACACAATACTAACAATGGCAAATGTAACAGTACTCGAGGGATAAATATTATATATATAGGCTTCATTATACATCAATTCCATTATTATTATGTCACACGATATATTTTAAACAGAAGTTTAGCATGGAACACAGCCTTGTTTGTCACTTTTTACATTTGCAAATATGGGATTCTACAGCGTGTATGCTATGTGCATATAACTATATAAATCATACTTGTTCCAAATAAATAATTTACAGGACTCCACCCTTTCTTTGTCACTTTTTATAATAGTAACATTTTCATGAAGTGATCCATGCTCTAGGGAACTTTGGTTTGACCCATTGATGCAAGAGACACAGATGAGTGTCTACTGTTTCTCCTTTAATTTCTCATATTATATCCCAATATAGTTTCTTATGACAAACTGAGCTTATGCAGAATCAACAGAAAAGGTAGGAAGATCTTTTTACTCCACTGGGTGGACACTCATGCAATCAACTTTTTCAAGTTCTGTAAACACTGAAAGGCACAAGTAGAGTGAAAAGATGGATATATGACATTGCTTTCAGTTTGCATAGTTGACAAAAATCTTAACACAACAGCACTTAAGTGACAAAAGTTATGCCAGACCCAAGACCCAGCATGGACAGCCACTTATCCTATAACTCTAAATCATTGTAGATGACATGATCCTTGTAATATAGAGGAACATTTGCTCAAGCTCAAGTACCATAATATAGTATAAGAGTCAATTTACCAGCGTTCTACAATTTTACATTATAAGGTTGGAAAAATATGAACAGCTTACCAGAAACACGACAGCTATAAGTAAGATCGTCCTCATTAGCCACGAATTCATTGGCATCCTCGGACCAAGTATGGACCTAGAGAAACGCAAACACAAAGACAAGTACTTAATTTAATCTGTACTAATAGAGATCATATAATTGGTACTACTGAGGTATCATGAAGCTGAAGGATCTCTAGAGATTGAAGTTTTCTTTTGAAATCACACCCAGATAGATGATTATATGGAAAAAGTGTATGGCATCTGCCTAGGTTTAAGCAGGAAATGCACAAATTGTATGATACCTGTTGTTCTGTCATTTGCAGGAAAGCCAGAGTGTAATATACCAACTCGTTGATATTATTCATCATAACCTACAGGGACAAATTCTCAAATATACAACATGGAAAAAATAACAGCAAAAGAAATATCTAACAGCCACGGGGTGTTTGGGTTGGCAAACCTTAACAAACTTCCTGCTGCCCACAATAGTCAATAGAAATTCAAACAACTGCAAAATCAAATGATGAAAATGAGATTTGAAGTCAAATGATAAATATGTACGCAAGACACAAGAGAAAAATACATGAAAATAGAAAATTGGCTCTTGCACAACAGGGGCTTTGATTGACCTACTACATTTTGAATAATTAGGATGTTTGTTGATATTTCTCCATGTGAAGTCAAAGATGAGACACTCCACCAACTTTTTCTCCATTATTCATGTCTCTCACGAGATAGCAAGTTTGGGAATGAGGAAGTCAGGACATTGAAATGTCTAGACATGTAAAAGTTAACAATAACATAGAAAAGATCCATGCATCGCTTGTACTAGGAGAATTCTTACAATAAACACGAATGTTGTGCTAATACTATAATCCAGAAACTATTCCATACACAAAGACAGTAACCTGAATGATAAAGGAATCAAGGCTCTTTTCTGCACCATCCGAGTCATATCTTCCCTCATAAGGATCTTCTTGACCTTCAATTGATGATTGCGAATACACCATAAGAGTGGATACAAATGTTTGCCACAACGGTCCCATGATAACTGCATGAGAAAAGAACATGTGAGTCAGTCAACAGAGAATCAGAAGAGCTGACAAAGCTAAAAGATACAATCACAAGATAACTTTAAGTAACATACCCACAAATTCACCTACACCAATGCTGGAAAAATTCTGAATTAGCTGTTTTAAGCACTTAAGAACCTGGGTGGAGAGATGCAGAATATACACAACAGTTAATTGCTCCTTCAACTCAAGAAGATACACATCCGATCCAACATATGTCATGCCATTTCCAAACTGACCTCCATTCTAATGCTCCAATCATCAGGATCTTCTGATGGCACTGGCTCTCTTAAGATAATATTAAACTCATCCATCCATGGTTTGAGAAAAGAATTTACCATCTCATTGGTCTCACTCTGGAAAAAAGAATAAACACTCCCCAGATCAGATAACCAACAACAGAGTTAAAACTAGTTCTAGCATATTCCAAATGATGAGAAAACAAATGAGAGGTCCATTATTACCTTATAAACACCACTCATAGCCCCCAGCACAGAGACACAAGAATAAACTATGGAAAGGGCCTTTGCACGCAAATGTTTGTCATAAATCTGTAACAAATTCACAAGAAGCAAAAGACATTATAGAGACAGAAGATGTTTCTTATTTCATCATCTTTTGAGAGAAACATGCCTTTTAATTCCCAAGGAATTAATGAAAGCCCTAAATGAAGTGACGGAAGTCAGAGAACTTTAATCACCTTAAACATAGGAGGGAAGTTCAAAAATCTTTTTGATTTTTGTAAATTACAAGTCCCAGCATCAAATTTAGAGAGAAGATCACATGCTTGCTCATAAGCACTCTTTGGCTTCTTAATATTCGTAAAACACAAGATTCAAAGGTTTATAAGTTATATATTTCGCACGAAGAATTAATACTTGCCTGCAACTAACCATATGCAAATGGAGTCATCAAAAAGTTGACAAGCAAAGTAGCCCAATGACACTATCACATTTGAACAAGAAAAAACATCATACAGGCATACGCTAACAGTAGAGGCAAGCAACACAACAACAACAGCTACTGTAATCCATAACCAATTCTAGAAACACTGGTATTTGCTGATCAAATTGAAGATCTACAAGCTATGAAAATCAGTTAAATTAAGGTAAACTCTGAAATGCATGCATCCACAATTGCAACAGGAATTTTGAAAGCTAAGCTCAATGGACAGAGCGTCCCACTGGTCCCTATTTCAAACTCCAAAAAGTCCCTACTAATTAAAAACCAAAAACGGCAAAAGTTTGAGAACAATTTGAAGCAGAACATACAACAAAACAAACCTGAGCTGAAGATACAATCTTATGCAAAGTAGGGAACAAGATAGGAACTAATGTGGGCACCATTGTATCATCAAGATCTCCAGACAGAAGCGACAGGCATTTGAGAGCCCCTTGCACTACAACATTTAGCAAACTCCTTTATGTCGATCAAAAGTTCATAAGACTAGGAGTAACAAAATTTACAAAAAGAAAGAACAACAAATCAGAAACTTTATAGAACTTCCAAAGTAACTATAATTCTTTGTCTAAAATTGCTATGAGATTGCAATTGGATCAACGTATAACCTCAAAAGTATTATCCAGTAGAAGCTTTTAAAATTCAAAAATATTCACGAAATATGTCTCCTAGTTTGATGGATAATTAACAACTCAGAAGCCCACAGCATACAGGTAAGCGAAAAGGATTCACGTAAATATGATGACGGTGAGAAAATGGAACACTCTACCTCGTTTCATGTTAGTTTGATCATTAATCAGCTTCAGAAGGTTAGGCAATAACTCAGGCCAATCCTCTGGCCAATCATAAACTGCGATGGATGCAACTGCCATACTAACTGCCGTGCAAATTTTTCTGTGAGAGTCATCCAGCGTCATCAGAAGATATTTGCGTATAACTACCTGATAATTGATCAATAATGTTATTAGCTTAGACATTCAAAACATGGCGGCTATCGGTTAAATATCATCATCGAACTAACAATTGGTTCATCATCTTAGATCTTCCAAAAACACATGCTGAAACAAGTATTTCATCCATGTCCAACATGCATATCACAGTTATTAGAGACATAGAGGCACCCCACCTCGACCAAGAGGGGGAACAGAGTCCATTGTTTGATTAAGTGAGAACTTTGTTCACCTAAAGAAGTGAATAGAGGAGACAGAAGCAATCAATGTGATTGGTCAACCTGAACTTTGATCAAGGACGGCATTGTTCACGCATCCACTCTAAATCTACAACCAACTAAAGACATCATCTCCCAAAAACAGCCCCATCTGCATTCAATCATCTCACCACTTGCAAAGCAACATTGACAATTGAAGAACCCTAACTCATGACTCAACCTATGACATCTACAAGAAATGGATTAACGCAGTTTTGCACTATTGCACCAATGACCATGGCATTTCTGTCCCAATCTCTTTGTTACCACCACAGGTATTGCAAGCAAAAAACTTCTGCTCTATTGTTCCTTAAATCTTTGCTCATTGGGTCAGGTGGAAGATTCACCAGACAAGCCAAAAAGATCGAAGTAGACTCACCTGTCCTTGGGCCTAAAACTCAAGAAATCTAGTAACAATACTCTAGCACCTTCTTTAAACAGTAATGCCTCTTCAACTCACGCTAGTAGGTTGGTAAAACTAATAAAAAATTCTAGACATGAATGGTTTGGTGGACCTACTCACAGAAAAGAAAATGTTGCACAATCTGGGAAACCTTCTAAATGAGAAGCTAAAAGGACAAAATATGAGTTTATTAAGAAGGGTTATCTAGAAAAGAACAAGAAATAAGTCTACACCATTGGATCGACTAAAGATTACCTTTTCGTCACTTGAAACCGCAGGATGCTCAAAAGAATCCTCACCTTCTTGCCAGTGTTTCTTGATGAACTGCTTCAGCAGGACAGCAGCTAGGTAGAGGTACGTTAATTGTTCACAACATAACTGCCCAAATAGAAGTTACAATACGTACTGGATAACTAGAAGCAGAGAAGACAAACTATGCTGGAACAGGATGCAAGGTTTAAGGTCTCGTGTTCTTCATACAGAATCACTCTCCTTATGAATAAGTTAAAAAGTAATTTTGCGTTCCTGTCAAAATCTATAATAATATTCAAAATTTCAAATGATTATGAAAAATTCACATGCGAATGTACGTGTCAATGATTGCATGTTATGAAAGTATCAGGTATTTCAGATTCAAAAGAATTCACAATGTGTGAGCCACAAGATACAAAAAGAAGGCAAAAAAAAAAAGTTACAAGACATTCCAAACACACCCGAACTAATTAGCTAATTAACTAAAATGACATGTATTTAGCTAATTCCGAAGTACAGACAAGATGATGATGATAAAATAAACTAGCATGTGATGCAAGTACTAATATAAGGATATCTGGCGCAATCCAAACGGGAGCTCCCGGTTGGCTGCGACTTTTGATAATGCACTTCCAAAACCTGTAAAGTTCAAAAGATAAATGCTACCAATACAGAACCTCAAATGATGAAAGCTACATAAATTACTTAAAAGCTAGAGTGAGGAAATAAACACAGCACGGAAGTTTTGCTCCTTCTATTAGCTGATAGTTAAAACTTAGGCAGGTCAATCATCTGCAAGATTAAGAAAGACAAAACTACGACATCACCAAAAAGGAATCTTATTTATTTAGCAAAATAGTTAGCATTCTTTTTCTAAAGATGTTTGGCTAAATGAATCCTTTTAGTTGTAGGATCCATAAACCGAATGCTTCATTTGCCTTCTTATGTTATGGCTGCCCCTTTGACATGAGCCACTTACACTTGTGTCTCTTGACTTACATCTAGGTATACTTGTTACCCACTAAAATTCTATAACTTCCCTAGCAGAAGGATTACCAGAATCATTTGCCTTCTCAAGCAATACCTTCCCCATTTGACATAAGCTGCTTACAACTATGTCTCTTGACCTTTAATGAGGTATACATATTTCCACAAAAATACTATCACTTCCCTAGCAGTGACCTACTTACTAGAATTCCTAGCTCTCCACGCCAACGGTGCAGAAGAACACGTGTGCTGAACAGTGGACCTACAAAGCAAACATAATCTGCTGTACTTATAACCATGGACACGGCAATGCTGATATCTCTTCCCATATTTCTCCTAGGAGTTTTCACCCCCCTCGCACGATGCCCAGCACAACATCTCGACAATTTGACACATGCTCTATTCAAAATCACACGGATTCTCGACGTCTTCTTGCCACACGACAACTTTTATATCTCTTCCCATGTCTCTCCTGGGAGTTAATAATTCATAACCGCCCCCACGCACGATGCCCAGCACAATAACATCTCGACAATTTGACCCATCCTCCATTAAAAAAATGCACAGATTCTCGACGTTTTCTTGCCACGGCTAGTTCACACTTCTATGGCACGTTAAAACGCTAAACAAACGCGGTAAATCATCCCCCAGCAGACTGCATCGACACCCACAGACAACCGATGCTCGAACTCATCCACCCGACCATTCTCGAATGGTGTCAATTCAACGAACACCAGGCAGGCGAAAGCCAGCAACGGGGCGAACAACTTCCGTACAACAACAGACGACAAGTAATGAGAGACAAAAGGAGAGTAGCGATCATTCACCAGATTGCAAGGACGCTTGCTGAAGCGAGGCCTCGGCGAAGGCGCGGACGTCGTGGTTGGGGTCGAGAGTTGCGGACAAGCAGCTCAGCAGCCACTGCTGATCCTGATCGACCGCCGATGACGCCATCAACCGGAAGAACAGGAGGAAGAAAATTCGTACAAGACGGATGGAACTTCAGCTGTTCCTTCCGATTTCGCCTCCTCTTCCGTCGAACGAGGTTGGTGGGGGGGGGGGGGGGGGTCTTGTCGCTTCTCCGGCGAAGGAATCGCCGCGGAGGAGGGCGGCAGCGGTTTTGCCGGGGGGATCGTTTTGGCGGGGGTTTTGGAAATGGCGAAGGGGAGTGGGAGCGATGTTTTTACTTAGGGTTCGGATTCAAAAAAAGAAAAAAAAAATTTTGAATTTTTTTATTTTTTTAGGAGTACAAAGTTTATGAATTTATGTTGTCGGAGTGGGGCCCTTGCTTTTGTTTTGCGGTCGGACCGGGGCCGGGACCGGGATCATGATGATGTCCGGCGTCCGGTTTTTGCAGATTTTCATTTAGTTTTTTGCAAAAATTATGAAAATGGTATGTGTGATTTATGCACATAATTATGAGTGAGTGTGGAACTACCGCAAAATAAGCATGGAACTAAAAAAGTAGGATTAATATTTGGGTTCGCTGCTGTTATAATAAAATAAAAAAAAACTAACTCAACCTCGTATCCAAGTCCCTTGCAAACTTATACGAACTTATGTCAAGAAAAATACCAAAAAAGTTATAAACTTTTCGATTGGATCAATTTAGTCCTAAACCTTTTTTGCATTAGTGTCAATTGAGTCGATCCGGCCAATTTTGTCAAGTAATTGCTGACGTATACGCCAATCGTCCCATATGGTATGGCCGATGTTGACGTCAACAATTTTTAATAATTTTTTTTTCCTTTCATCAAGTTGTCGGCCGCTGGTGAGTCCTAGGTGAGGCGGCCCTCACCAGCGTCCGACAAGGGCTTGCTAGCCCTCATTTAGCGGTTGGAGAGGATCGCCGACCAAATTGAAAGGAAAAAAAAAGAAGGAAAAAAACCAAAAAATTATTAAAAATTTCTAGGCCAGCGTTGACCGGTGGTTGCGCAACGTAAGAAGGCCGGCGTCCACGTTAGTGATTTTCAGTCAAATTTAGCAAGATTGACTCAATTTACGCAAATACAAAAGGTTTAGAACTAAATTAGTCTAATTAAGTATAGGATTGAATTGGTTTTTTAGTACTTTCCCCAACTTATGCTTTAATGATCTCACACGGTACAATTTCATTCACGAGTAACGGAGGTCATTGCTTGCTTTTTGGCTTTACTTGTTCGCTCAATTAGGGTGCACACCCACTCAAATGTTTGGCCATTGCACCCTCGAAGCTACAGGTCTTCGGTTCAAGGCATGGATGAAGAGCATGTACAATAACCCTAAGGTTGGCAACGATTGTTCGGGGTGTTTGAGGATTTTCAACGCAAAAATTTAGAGGTTCTCCTTCCGAATCTTATCAATTTTGTGCAAATTGCTTTAGGTTGGAGCTACTTGCATAGATCAAAGATCTTGACTTAATTAGTTCATGGTGCTTGTAGGGTATTTCATGGGAAGCCAAATTTTTATGCGCATACCCCCGAACTATTTAAAAAAAAGTATGCGCAACAATTTCAAGTAAATTGTATATGCGCTTCACGTGTACAAGTAGCCGGACCTCTGGTCTTTAAGAAAGCATACTTCAAATTCAACTAAAGTGTTATCTCGTCTCATCTTGACCTAAAATTCTTATTCTCCTTCGTATTTACATGTCTCCATTGACTATTCTTCATGGATGGACATGGACAACATCGAAAACTCAAAGCCAACATAAAAATTCTCCCTTCTTGCTTTATATCAGTAGGAATAGTTACAACAACATATATTTAAGCATAGACGAAGGAAAATGGACACTACAAGTGCCATAAATTTTGCATTACGCTCACTTATAGTGTCAAACTTTTCGCCGAATCATTAAAGTGTTAAATCCGAAAAAAAAATGATAACTTAAATGCTTCCGATGACAAATTCATGCCAAAAGTCCTACGTGATATCTATAATAAAATGCTTATTTGTACATAACTTTTGTACTATAAAAGTAAGTCCAACGGAGACTCTCTCACTCTAAACCGCCGCGCGGTTCTTCCTCTCAAATGTTGATTTGATTCCTCTTTCTTCATTCCGATGACTTAGACAATCTCCCTCTGAAATTTCGATCGCTCGCTCACAAGCCGTCTCCGTATCTCTCACTCCGTCGACATTGTCACCGTCTCTCACTCGCATGCTCAATTGGTGCGGGAAAAAAAGTTGGGCTTGGTGATTGGAGGAAAAATTAGGACTCGATGGTTTTGGGGGAAAGGTAGGGCTCAGTTCTGGAAGGAACAAATTAAGGCTCAACGCCATAGGGAGGAATCTTGCAAAAGAAAATGTGAATATTTTATTGTGGTTTGCACTTCAAGCATTCTTTATACCTGGCGCATCTATGGAATTTTCTTGGACTTCTCCGCCTACAATAACAATAATATTCACCTTTGTCTTCGCTTTGTTGAAAGGAATTTGAGCCGTTTGTCCTTGTTCTGCTCTTCATTGCAAGATTTGGGTGCTTAATTTCGTGGGAAACGGAATCGAATTAGGTTTTGAGAAGTGTTGTGTTCGATTTAGGGTTTGAGATGCCCCTAGTCCGAATTAGGGTTTTATTTGGGCAAAAATATATAGACGACGTCGTTTGGCCTATTAATGCTGGCTGGGCACACCAGCGAGCCATGTCGATTAGGGAAATTGATTAAATATTGCCACGTCAAATTTTTGACATCCTCAATTGGAGTCGATACTTAAATGATCCTTTTTTAAAAAAAGTGGCACTTAAGTGATTCAACGAAAAGTTTTGACACGAAAATAAGCGTCATATAAAAAGTATTTTTTTTCTCCGTAGACAATAAACAACATTAATGAACAAGTACAGACGCAACATATCTAGCATAAGAACTTAGATGGGGTTTAATGGACACCAGTTAGAAATAGCAAAGATTAAACCCACAAAAAAACAGAACACACATGAGAAAATCTGTCACTCCCATTTGGTCCTCACTTGGTGAGTGTGCTTGAAGTCATAAGCCAACACCAAAGTCCCATCCATTCTCTTCAGCACTAGGGGTGAGCAACTTGGACCGCCCAAACCCGGACCGGACCGGACCGACGGGTTTGGTCCGGTTCTCGGGATTATCGGCCCGGTTCCCGGTTCCTAAAAGCGGAACCGATTTTCGGGCGGTCCGGTTCCCGGTTCCAAGGGGGAACCGGACCGGACCGACTATTTAATATATATTTTTTGTTATTTTTTTCTTTAAAAAAATTAATAAAATGTGAACTAAACTCTAAGTGAACTTCATTATCATAAATTCATTGATAAAAATTAGTAAAATGCGAATGAAACCCTAAGTGAACTTCATTGACATAATTTCATTGATAAAAATTAGTAAAATGTGAACCAAACCTTAAGTGTTTAACCAAAAAAAAAAAAAACTAAACTCTAAGTGACCGATTCCATTGGACCGGATCGGAACCGGACCGGACCGCCGAGAACCAACCGGTCCGGTCCGCGGTTCCCAAATTTGGGAACCGGTTCTCTCGGTCCGGTTCCCGGTTCCACCTTGGAACCGGATCGGACCGGAAACCGATCACCCCTATTTAGCACAAAACTCTCCACCAACATATAAAAGCCAAACCTCTGCCAACCCTGGCTCAACCCGCTCTGGATGAACTCCTCCACTCTCTTCACCCTCACTCTCTTCTCTACCTCCTTCACCCAACCCCACTCTCTCTTCCTCCCACCTCATCCTTCCCACAATGGCCATGCTCAGTCTTATCACTCCTGTCCTACTGCTAAACCACATCACTCCATCATTAACATTGTCCTCCCCAGCTTCCTCACCAAACACCCTAACGGCCTCCTTCTGAATCAGCAAATCCACTTCCACATCATTGCCTTCATTGGCATAATTGTCACATGCATGGACCTGTTCCCACCTCTGTTGCAGTGTCATCTCGCAGAACGCCGATGCCTTGATCTGGTCCCCGGCCTTCCCATCCTTGACAAACATGAGCGGGCAGTACCACTTCCCCACCACCACTGGGTCCAAGCTCTTCCGGTCGATCGGGACGTCGAGGCTTGGGAGCTTTGACCTCTGCGAGTCATTGACTCCCGACGCATCGTTGTCCAAGGAGAAGTTTTTGGGTGTTTTGCCATGAAGGGCCCAGCCTTTCCTCTTCAAGAATCTCGGAGGGTACCAATGGACCTTGTGTTGAAGCCGCTGGACCTGTTCATAGTCTCGTCCCGGTAGATCACAAACTGCTGGTATATGTCGTCAAGATTCAACGGGCTAGGTTTCTTGTCTCGAATGTGGCGGAAGCACAAACAGTTGCCTTCGTCTTTTTCCTTCGAATTAGCGTGCGCTTCCCTACATGGCCATTCAAGATAGAATAATTTAGAATTTTTGAGGAATGAATGATTTAGGCTTTTTGAGGAATGCCATTAAACTAAATCATGCAATAAGCAGCTAAACTTTTACTAAAACCTATTTGCTAAGTGGCGTGGTAAGTTCTGTAACTTCAACTATTGCAACAAAAACTAGTTCTTGCATAGTTTATTTCACATCCCCACATTATCCATCAATAATATCCCCTTATCCTATTAGCAGATATCAACATATTCATCACCTAACTCAAGAACAGACAGAGGAAGTGAAACTATTCAAAGTACTTAGAAAGATCATACCCTTTATGCTTCCCGCGACGCTGAATCACGTAGTACTGATTGACAAGGGCAGGTTGACGACTGGGATCAGGAACACCTCATCTTTGTGTTGGGATTTTGGCATCCAAATCCCATAGAATTGAATGAAAAGTGTGTGGATGAAAGTGTCCCACATTGAATAGAAGAGAGATGGGAGATGGGTTCAAATAGTTGAGCATCACAAATGGGTTTGGGCCCCAAGGGGTATCCCACTTTTGTGGAAGGGAGAGGACCTACGCCAAGCTAGGTCGGTTCCCCCCGCGCGCCGCCGCCGCCGTCCGTCTGGCCGGTTCGGTTCCGGGTCCATTCTCTATCGGTTTTTATTTTTTTTGAACAGACACGTTGTTAGAAATTAATTAATTATTTATTTTTTGGACAAACAAACATGTCTGTTCGTGAGGTTCGGTTCGCCCGAACGAAAACCGAAGCGCCTTCGCTACTGTTCATGAACCCTCGTAACTCTTCATTTTCGCCACTTTAATATGACTGAACAGTTAGTTCGATAGCCACTTTAATATGACTGAACAGTTAGTTCGATATAGTGACATTTTTCGTG